TTAAAGAAATGGAAATGCTTGACTCGTTGAACTATTGCAAAAATCTCAGAGCTAAATTCTTTGGTTGGATCATTCTTACGTAACTCTAGCGAATTGCAAATTCCAATTCTTACTTTACTTCCCGTCGGACCCAATGCGATTTACGTTTACGTGCATGTAATCTACGTAAAGTGACGCTTTGTGTCTACTATATGAGCGTCTAAATTGAGCGCTCACCATTGCGCGTCGTCCCACGGTGTCCAGGGTCCACCAGCCATCCTGTCGCTGCATCTGACACTGCAATGGTCCTCGCATCCCACGTCGTCTGTAATTCACTCCCGATCGCGATAATCTAACGGAGGTTTCACGAAAAATCCCGTCTTTCTTGAGGGATACACTCTGAATTGCGAATTGCGTATGAAATATCGCGAACTGTGTCTTTGAGGAAATATCGGCCTTTCGGATAAACGACGAATATGTGCGACGAATTCAGCAACGGTCCGATCGAGATGTAGTGTAACGCTTTGATACACACGCGATGTGAATCGCTTACGAAGAAAACGGAATCCGCGAGCGAAGGGAACACGCAACGGGAAGGCTAATCTCGCGAAATCTCTCGACGCGTGGGCAAAGTAATCTGTACGAAATTTTCACGTACGACACGGAATACCCCTAATGTAACGTTTCGATGGTGTAGCGTAGTAGGCTGCAATACAGCTCCGCAATATTTTTGCGGATGACAACTCCGTAATACTTTTGCGAGGACAATTCCGCAATGTTTTTGCGGATAACAGCTCCGCAATACTTTGCGAAGACAATTTCGCAATGTTTTTGCGGATAACAGCTCCGCAATACTTTTGCGAAGACAATTTCGCAATGTTTTTGCGGATAACAGCTCCGCAATACTTTTGCGAAGACAATTCCGCAATGTTTTTGCGGATAACAAATCCGCAATATTTCTGCGAAGTTCGCTCGCGACTCTTTCGCAAATACGACCCGGTGAAATTCGCAAACCTATAAAATTAATAATCGCGAACGCGAGCGTGAATGAAAAATAAAAATTATGAAGATTGTGACGATAGAGATAAAGATTCTGTTCAAAATTTACACGAGAAAAATATTACCGAGTGAGACGTCTATCTTCGTTCGAAGGAACTTTTTGCACGCCGCATAAGTAAACAATTGCTCGCATGTCTGACTTATGTACATCGCATTTTTTGCAAGGAACCAACACTTGCTAACATTGTCTCTGCGTTAGGAAACTCTAACTCTAAGTAAAAAATTGAAATCTAAAAATTTTCCGACGATCGTAAAATTAATTTTGCGAGCAATTTATATAATCACGTTAGATCGCTTCGCGCAGATCGTGTCACACGATATCGAATTTTACTTAATAACGAAGCACGAACTCTATTTTATGAAATATAATCGCGATTCAAGATCACGCAAAAAAGAAAATTGAAAAAATTAACGACCAGCGGAAGATCTGTGACGCGAGTGATGTGATTGCACATTTTATGTAGCACAATTTCTGTGGCGCAATTCCTTTGCGTATTGGGGCAATCTCTTTGCACGTTGGCGCACTGCTCGAGATACCTGAAAGATCGCATTCAATAAAACTGAATAATTTTACAAAATTTTGAATGTTCAGAGCGTATACTCAATACTTTAAGCATCTATCAGATAGTGTTGGATTAATCAAAATTTTCTCCGATAAAAATCGTTGACCTAAGTTAATCAATTTCAAAATATATATACATTGGGAGGAAAATATTTGAAAATTTATTTGCCAAATTTATGTAAAATATGTATTATCACTAATATTATTATTTGAAAAAGCGATCTTTCAATTGTTTCAAGCAATGTGATTTTTATTGGACGGCACGTACACATACTACACTACAGTAAAGTAAATCGCATTGATTCAGTAAACATGCACTACATCGAAAGACTTTTTGTCTTTCTATTATCAATATCTTTCTTGTTTTGACTCACCAAACTGCCGATCAGGGTAGCCACATTCTGCTTTCGTTTCTGGAACAAAAAATGCGATTTCGCCGATTAGATTTGTGCTTTGATAACGATTTGAGTGAAGAAGTTTGAAGAATTAAAAAAAAGTAAACGCGATATTTTTCACGCTGGAAAAATTTTTCGGAATGCATTCACACTTGGAATATTCTACTTTCTTTTTTTTCGACGTTGCAAATAAATCTTTTAATCGGAAAAAATAAAAATTTTTCAAGTCGCGATGTTACTCAGAAAAATTCTTCCAGCGTGTAATTACGATTTAACGCGATCTTTGATTCGATTCAAATTATCTCGATTAAGAGCAAGAGAATTATCAATCTTGTCGAATTTCTAATTATAAATGTTAATTAATAAAGCTCACCTTCGAGCTAACCCCGCTTGGCTCGAGCCAGATCCTCCGGCGCAGCAGCCCCTAAGAGTCGGCTGGTCGTCTGTTTCGTCTCTGCGACAGAAAGCAGATTTAATTTAGTATTACACACGACAATGGAGGCATTAAGAAACTCGATTTCAAACAAAAGAATTTCCAGTTTTGTCGGAATTATGAATTTAAATTAGTGAAACTCACCTTCGCGCCAACTCTGCCAGGCCCGAGCCGGGTCCTCCGGCGCAGCATCTCCTTAGAGTCGAATGCTTGTCTCTGCAACAAAAAACAGATTTGATTGAATATTAATTAGTTACACGACGATGGAGGCATTAAGGAACCTGATTCCAAACAAGAAAATTCTCAGTTTTGTCGGATTTTCAATTATAAGTATAAATTAGTGAAGCTCACCTTCGAACTGACTCAGACAGGCTGAATCCTCCGGCGCAGCATCCCTCACTCATCGCATCCCCTAGAGCCGCGTAACTGCGTCTGCTCTATTGGATCTCTGTGACAGAAATTTAATTTAATTTAGTAATTTAATAATTTAGTATCAATTATAGTTACACGCGACAGCAAAACGAGGAAAAGAAATTGTAACGGCACACTCGAGTTCCTTTCCAATGCGCAAGAAGAAATAATTAAATCATAGCTAAATAAGGAAGTAATAATATCCGATTAATTAATAGATGATGATATTAATATCTAATGGATGATGATATTAATGATCGACAATCATATAATATCCGAAAGTATCAATTAATTACACACGACAGCACGACGAGGTAAGGAAATCGTCGTAACGGCACGTTCGAGTCGCTTCCCAATACGCAATAAAAATAATTAAATGATAACCGAATAAAGAAGTAATAATACTCAAATAATAAATGCATAATGATAATATTCGACTGGCATTGAGGAACTCGTTCGCGACGTTTCTGTATCTAACAAGTAAAAAGGTAAATGAAACGTAGTAATTACTTGTCGCGGTAAAGCCCGTAACACCTGTTCGCGTGAGCAGCACGCGTTTTAATTTGTCTTAATTATCGCGTGAATTGTCGCGAAGTCGAAACGCGGTATTAAAAATCGGCACGGAATAATTTAGAAAATAACGCGGCAGGTCCCGATGTGCTCGTCTTGACGGTTGAGAGTGTTGTGCCGTAACGCTCGAGCACGTGCTCGCGTACGTGTGTTTACATGATCCGACCGCGCGCCCCCCAAGCGCCGCTCAGTCAGCGGTACGAGCGGGCCGTTTACCTAGCCTTTGTGGAGTCTACAGTTTTTGTTAGAGCCGTTGCCCAGGTATTGTTATTATCGATTATTTAATCATCATTATTTCGTTATTATCATCAATATTTAACGTAAAGGACAATAAGAGTTCAAGCACAGGTTGAATAGTGTTATTAAAACTATTAAAAAATAGTGACCCAATCTCATAATGAGAAGAAATTTATTAATCATCAAACGCGTTTCAGTCTAATCTTTTTTTTTTTTTTTATTTCTTTTAGTTCGTTATTATCCACTCGCGGATATTATCACACGATTGTCGAGTAGATATTATTATCGCTACTATTTAATATTCGAATATTATTACTTCTTTATTCGATTATTTAATTTATTCGGTTATTATTTATATGTTTATAACTTTTGATAGGAGCATTTTCCAAAGAAATGTTTCAGATAAAGTTTATTTTTCTTTTTCCGCAGAATTTAAATATGTAACATTGTATAGGGAGTCCCATTTGAAACTTTGAAGTTATCTCCCGCCCCTCTTCAAGGGGGGCGGAAGTGGATTTTTGTTTACGTAGTTAGAAAAGCCCCTCGAATATATGAAACTTTCTCATGAACAACTTTTTGATAGGACAAATATAATTTAGAGATAATTTAGAGTTATTAGCTTGTAACATTTTACGTGGGCCACTCTGTATACAAGGTGTTCAACATAATAAACATTCGTACGATTTTTAAGACGCTTTCGACAATTTAAAGAAAAAATTGTAAGATGAACATTTATTTTATGCCAACTATTACTTGCAATAAAAAAAAGTTGGGAAAAAAATTTTTTCATAAAAATATTGTTACCTTGACTTTTTTAAATGATTCGATGCAATTTCTTTTATAATATTGTAGTCGACTTTAAGACAAATTCAACGAACTATCAAAGATCATTTTTACCAATTTTTATTATCAAATTTGCAGAATTATTTTAAATAGCAATACTTATAAGCTCTCAAACAACTTTTAATATTTAAATTTATATTTTTAGTCAGAGTTTGTAAATATACTGCCATTGAAAATTTGAAATGCTGCAAATTTGATATTAAATATCGATAAAAGTGATATTTCTGATGGTACGTTGAATTCCTCTTAAAATTCTTTTTACAATATTATGAAAAAATGTCATTTAAAAAATTCAGCGTCCCATTGATTTGTTTCACGAAAAAAATTTTCTTTCAATTTTTTTATTGCAAGTGGTAGCATGAAACAGATGAATATTCATCTCACAAACTTCTCTTTGAATTTACGGAAGTGTCTCAAAAACGTTAAATACATTGTAATCTGAACACTACGTACACTACATAAGATGACGCTTTTTGAGCGTTTAAATTGTACACTTACTATTGCGCGACGATATCCGACGACATTCTCCGGGTAGGAATTTAAAAGAGGGCTTGTAAAGGCCCTAAATAGTTTTTCCCCATTTCTGTCTAGGCGCCATTCAGGCAAGCTCGAATAGGCTCTGTACAGAGATGTAACGCTTTTGTAAGTCAGGGTTCGATTTGTAAATCGGACGAGACCCTATTCCGGCACGCCTATATAGGTCCTATTTGGATACGCCTAAGTAGAAAAAAATATTCTTTTATGTATGGGTATGTACTACTTTTTTTCTAATAGAAACTATATATATATATATATATTCGTAAAGGTCACAGCGTTTGCTGATTTTATTTGGAAACTTTAGATTACTTGATTCTAATGCTACATCACATTTAAAAATTCCCACTGTCACTGGTGGGACTCGAACCTGGACTCTGCCTGAGGCACCTTTGGATTATGAATCTCTTGCCTTAAACACTATGCCACTTCTTCAATCGATATTAGCGTCTTACATTTTGTCCATATGTGTTGTGATTAATACAATAATATAATTTTTTTATAATATAACTTAATAAAATGATATAATTTTAATAAAAATTATATTTTTCATACTTTTGTTGTTAATTTAACTCTTAGCTAATAAGGTTAGGTTTACAAAATCCCGCACTTCCATTTCGTTATTTTTAAATTTTTATTTAAAAATTATTAGTATTATTAGTTATAGTAGTAAGTATTATTTATTATAGTAAAAATTTTTTTATTGTTGATTGTTATTAAATAAATAAAATCATAAAAGACTATAAACTTGACCCGGGTCAGTTGTGTCATCGCGGCGCTCCGTATCCGTTCAACTTCCTCAGCATGCAGCCGTTGTTTCACTTCGGTCGCACTTCACTCTTTTCACTTGCAATCGCGGTCGTTTTAATGACGCCTCACGTTTTAACGGAAAGTACACGCAAATTTCGGAAGTATATTCACAAATCGAACGGAAAAAACCATGAACCGAACGTCACGATGCTTTCGACAACATAGAGAAAAAGAAAGAACATCTCGTTTCGCAAACATTTAAATATTCCAAGAAAGAAAAAGAAAACGAAATTTTTGTGTCGCGAAAATTTTAATTCTTGATTTCAACTTTGAATTCAAACTTTCATTTTAACCGAAGTGATATTAATAATCCGTAATTTATACCATCATGTGTGAAAAATTGAAGAAATTTGAAATAAGTCGTTCGTAAATTTTATCGCGAGTCTCGCGTATAATGGCGCAATTCTGATGCGCCAGTCTGAAGCGCAATTTTGATACGTCATTGTAAGACGCAATTGTTTTTAAATCTAATTTTAAATTCTAGCTTTCATTTTGATCGAAGTGACATTATAACCCGTCATATGTGAAAAATTGAAGAAATTTGAAATAAATCGTTCGTAAATTTTATCGCGAGTGAAAAAAATAATCGCGAGTCTCATGTATAATAGCGCAATTCTGATGCGCCAGTTTGAGACGCAATTTTGATGCGTCATTGTAAGACGCAATTTTGATGCGCAATTTCAAAGCGCAAGTCTGCGATGTATATTCTGCACTGTTTGACACAATTGGAGAACCGAATAAATCTTTTCGAATAATATCTTCAATTAAATATAATAAGTTCATTTATGTAGTAAATAAGACGACTATTTAAAGAAGAGATGTCCTAATTGCATTAAACAGTGCATTTCAGTAAACAGCACAAACACACACACACACGTGTAAAAACCCTACACTGAGAGACAAATTTTTATAATTCGTAACTATAATTTTATAATGAAATTATTATAGCCACGGGAAATATACTTGTAGTAAACGATAATAACATTATATTTATATTTTTGCTATTATTTTATTATTAGCTCAACAAAAAATATGACTGATGTTGTAAACGACTTATTGAATGACTAATTTTGAGTGAGATTAATGATTTTTTTTCTCTAAGTGCGCATTCAAAAAATCTACAAGCTAGGTAAATTGCATTGATTGAGAGATTTTGTAAATGCCCATCACTTTAGAACTTTGAATCACTTTTCGTGTTCATGTTTCTGACTCACCGAAATATCAGAGTCTCAGGATCGGTTACATTCTGCATATCTGAAGCAAAAATATAACATTACAGATTAGGTACGATGACCAAAATAACTTGATGAAACAAAAAATATATAGATACGTAGATACATAGAGCGTATTAATTTTTTTCTATTGTTATAACATTTTGCTATTGTTTTGCTATTGTTTTGCTATTATTAATTTTAATTTTTGTATCGCATACACAGAAAAACATCATTCTAATGTTGTATAGTTTATTTTACTTCTTTTAAATAATGACTATTTTTTTAACGAAGAATATTTTCTTGATGATAGTCTTCAAATATACTCATCACAAATTTAAGAAAAGCTCATTATCATGTATTCAAAAGAAAAAGTTATTCTACTTACAAAAATATTATAAAACTATCCAAGAAACTCTACCAAAGAATTTCAAAATATTGGAAATCATGCGCAACGTCTCCCAACCCGTTTGTTTGTTTACGTACGCGTCAAAGGCGCTCGACAATCATTTATGCTTACATATACTATTTTTTCCGAGACCACGTGGTTTCTGTCAACAAAATAAGCTCAGAAGCATTGTTACGTTATGTATTCATGACTTAATATTTTCGTAACAGTAACATTCCTTCTTGATATTTAAACTGTCAAAATGCATAATTACTTTTACTTCTTTTTTATCTCTAAGTCGGGATAATAAAATCTTTCTCGAACGAATATATTAACATTTAAATAACTTGATTAAACAAAAATAAAATTAGTTCGACTTTATGTAGTAAACAAATCAAATTTTTATTTTAATTTAATATTCTTGATTGGAATACTAAATTTATTAGAATTTAGAATGTATTTTGAGTAAACTTCATGCTTCTAATGAATCTGATATATCTGATTCTTATTATAATGAACTTATATTATTGTTGAATTTATAATGTGATAATGAATTTATTTCTGGATATATAAAAGCACTTATAAAATATTTGAAATAACTAATATTTACTTGAATGCAATGTATATTTTTCTATGTATAGATTTATGCTTCAAAATTGCGCTTTGCAACTTGTACAACTACATGTCCAAATTTGCAATATCAAAGAGTTTCGTCGAATAATAACTTTGATGGAATATAATAAGTTCGAGTATCCAGTAAATAAGACAGTTTAAAGAAGAAATCTCATAATTATCGAAATTACAAAAGAAAGTATGTAAAAAAGTTTAGAAAATGCTACGGGAAATATATGAATTTACCTTCGAGCCGACCCTGCTTGGCCCGAACCGGATCCTCCGGTATAGCATGGGTCCATCGCATTTCCCGGGAACCGCACCCATCGTGTGGCCACAAGCTCCGTTATATCTGAAACAAAAAGCAAATCTTCTGGTTAGCCATATAAATAAACGTAAATATCAAGAATAGGGAGGCTCAAGAGCGTACATTTCTCTTTTAAATTGGTGAAGATAGAAAGTAATAGTCACCCTTGGGATTCTAGAATGCTGCCGCTGCTTAAAATGATCTTAGCACAATAATCGCACACGCGAATAATGAAGAAATTTCTCACGCACGTTTACAATGATCTAAAATATTGGAAATCACGCGCGACGTCTCCCGATCTGTTTACACACGCATTAAACACTGTTATGATCGCTCGGCGATCGCCCGTATTTATATATATTATTCTCCGCGAGACCACGTGACTTCTGTCAACAAAACGAGCTCGAGGGTACCGTTACGTTATCTATTCATGACTTAACAATAACATTATACATTCCTTCTTGATATTCAAACTGTCAGAATACATAATTGCTCTTTTCAATCTCCAGGTCGGGATAATAAAATCTCCTTTCAACATATTTATATAAAGAAAGGACTTATTTAAGGATTTATATTTAAATAAAAAAAGGACTTATTTAAGGATTATTTAATTATTCTATTATCCAATATAGTCATTATCAAAAATACAAATATAATATGATAGACTATTAAAATAATAAAATATTAAATAAATAATAACAAGTTCATCTTTAAATCTTAATATGGAAATCGTCAACGTGGATAATGCAATTAGATAATACAGTATTAAATAATTTTTAAATAAATCCTTTGTTTATTTGAATATAAATGTATGCTTCGAAAAAAGATCTCATTATCGCAAATTTAAAAAACGATTTATATTACTCGTAACTGTGTGAACTTATTCAGAAAAATATAATCTTATTTTTAGCGGAAATCCTCTTATATATCACAAATAAAGAATATTTCTTTTATGGCTACTAAGAGGTCTGTGTATGGGATCTCAGTGATCTCTTTATTTTTGATTTTATCATCAAAGCCTTTAATTATTTAATCTCTTATGTATTGGCTCAAGAAAATTTTTCTAAAATCAAGTGGAAAATATTTTAAACACAATATTTTCAAAGTTAAAGAAATTTTGTCAAGTACAAGAGTTTCTTAATAGAAATATCCTCTAGTAAGAGGGTATTCCGCTTCAAGTAAGATCAATCCTTTTGATTGAAAAATGGAGAAAGAACAAAAATTAAAATAATATTTAATAGACACTCAATTAATATTTCACTTCATTGGAAGAGAAATAAAACTCTCATTTGATGAGAATTTTTGTTTAGAATATGGGATTACAAGAAATAGTACCCTGCAACTAGGGTTGCTTTTTTGGGTGTTAGATCTCTGTTTTGGTTTTAAAAGAATCTCCTCTTGAGGCTATGCATATGTTATCTCTGGTTTGCTTTTAAAAGAATCTCCTCTTGAGGCTATGCATAAGAGGATATCCTCTACAAATAAGATTATATTTTTTTTCCTTAGGTGCATATGTTAAATATTTCAACATACATACGTGACAAGAGAAACTTCAATAAAAGTATTAGGACCTTAACTTAGTTTCCGCCCAAAAAATACTGAGAAAAAGCATTTATTGTAAAAAATTTATTTAAATTATTTCAATGAAAGTATTTTCCATCACTTTCTACAACTTTTTGCCATCTTTCTGGCAACTGGGCGATACCATCTCGATAAAACGATGTTTGTTTCGAAGCAATCCATTCGTCCACCCATTCTCGCACTTCTTCAACATTTCGGAAGCGTGT